CCTGGGTGAACTGCGCAGCTACCTTGGCTTGTAGATCACTCGGGACAGAGCACACCGCACCATTACCTTGACTCAGTCACACATGGTGCAGCAGGTCCTTCAGCGCTTCGGCTTCACGTACTCCTCACCTCAGGCCACTCCTCTGTCTACTCGCCACTCGCTCTCAGCTCTGCCTTCGGATGAGTCCGTAGAGTCGAGTGGCCCGTACCCAGAGCTTGTTGGCTGCCTCATGTACCTGATGACCTGCACACGACCTGACCTTACATACCCTCGTAGCATCTTGGCACGCTATGTTGCTCCTGGGAGACACCGACCAGAGCACATGGCTGCAGCGAAGAGGGTGTTGCGCTACTTGTGCAGTACGTCGGGCATGGGGCTAGTGCTTGGAGGGCGGAGTCCAGTGGTCCTCACTGGGCACGCGGACGCTTCTTGGGCTGACGACCAGGCTACGCAGCGGTCGTCGCAGGGTTACACCTTCAGCCTTGGTTCCGGCTCTGTTTCGTGGCGGGCTACTCGCTCGTCTTCTGTTCTTGGCTCCAGTTGTGAGGCTGAGATCTACGCCGGGGCCATGGCTGCTCAGGAGGTTTGCTGGCTCACCTACCTGCTGACTGACCTTGGAGAGCCGCCTCGTTCTCCTCCAGTGCTGTACGTAGACAACAAGGCCATGCTGGCCTTGTGTCGAGAGCAGCGCCTGGAGCACAGAACGAAGCACATTGCTCTCCGCTACTTTCTTGCTTGTGAGCTGCAGCAGCGTGGTCAGTTACGACTTTCGTACGTGGCCTCTGAGGCCAACACTGCTGATGTTTTCACCAAGGCACTTCCGCCTTGTGATCATCAGCGTTTCTGTACTCAGCTGGGACTTGTCCCAGTCTTGCCTCACTTGCTCACCTCTTGACCTTACTTGTACTCTTGCATATATATATGCCTGCTCTTGCTTGTTTAGACTTATATATATATGTCTCCTCCTGCATGTGAACTGGCCTTGTGGCCTTGACCTTGTGCTCAGACTGTGTGGTGACATTGTGATCCACCCTGAGCTTGCTTTGCTCTGCTTTGCTTGACTGGTCTTGTGACCCCTTGTTCTCCCCCACTTTGCCTATGGGGGTGTGTCAGAACATTATAGCTTATGCTTTTGTGTGGGCTATAGTGGGGTATCCCATAGGGGGTACAACCCAATTAGGGTTAGTACTTGTACCCACTTCGCTCATAGTTCATTCATTCTCGTTCTCATTCTCACACGTCATACCCCGGATATAAGCCCCACCCTGGGATAAGCGCCTGGCGCTTTTAATTGGCGTGTGGCGCTTATATCCCCTGCTCGATTATAAGCGCACCCCCTGAAAAAACTTGTTTTATTATAAGCGCAGGTAAACTTTAAATTTTGAAATGTGTTCAAAACGCTGTAACGATTTTTACTTTAGCAGGTGGATGTGTTGCAGAATGGTTCCCTTCACATTCGGACCCTGCACTGGATACGGGTCCAATCAGCAGGAGCTGTCAGGAGCTGGATGTGAGTCAGATTGGGTGTATCTCCATGCGCACGCGAGAATTTCACAGACGACCCCATGTAACTTCGACTCGATTGAAAAGGCAAGCACGAGATCTACAGTTTGGTGTTAAAAAATATAAAAAAACATATAAGTCATTTTATAAACACCGGCGCTTGTAAATTTACTCGATTATAAGCCCACCCCCCTAAAAAACAAGTTTTTTTATTGCCCCCCATTGTCAGAATGTTATTATCTAGCCTGTAGTGGGGTGCTTTATAGCAAGTACAACATAGTTAGGGTTTGCTATATGTACCCCAACTGCTGCTAGTAAAACCTCCTCTTTCGTCAATTCTTCTTTTGCACTTCTTGTTTCTGACATGCTATCAGAGCAGGTCGACCCCCTTGGGTCGATCCTGTGGGTGGGCCCGCCACCTAACTGCTTCCGCTGCTATTCTACTTCTCGCGCACCTCGGGCGCGCGACATCTTCTTCCTGCCGTGCGCTCGGGGCGCGCGGCGGTTTTCTGCTGTGGGGACCCACGCACAGCCCCCGCCCGTCTCGTCGCGTCGCCCTGCAGGCCACGCGCGCCCCCTTTCCTGTCCGTCTCGGCGCCCTGAAGAGCAGCGTGCGCCCCCTGCCCGTCCGTCGCGGCGCCCTGGGGAGTAGCGTGCGGCCCCCTCCCGTCCGTCGCGGCGCCCTAGGGAGTCGCGCGCGGCCCCCGCCCGTCCGTCGCGGCGCCCAGGGGAGCCGCGCGCGCCTCCCGCCCGTCTGACGCGGCGCCCTGGGGAACCGCGCGCGCCCCCCCCGCCCGTCCGTTTCGGCGCCCTGAGGAGCAGCCCCCCCACCCCCCCCCCCCCCCTCGTGCTGCCCATTCCTCCCGTGCCGCCGTGCGTTCCGCGGTGGTGGCGGGTGTGGGGTGGCAAGCATGGGGGTGCGCGGTGTGGGTGTTCCCCTCCTCCTTGTTCGTCTCCCACTGCTGCAGCTGCTGCTGAGGGGGGTGGAGGTGTGGGAGCCGCGGGAGTGGAGTTGTGGGGGTGACGTGGGGGTGGAGCTAGGGGTGCAGCAGGGGGTGTGTGGAAAGGAGGTGGGACTGTTTGGGGAGGCTGAGAGGAGGCCGCCGTCGTGTCGTGCGCAGAGAGCCTTGCTGTGCCAGTCGCCTGTGGGTCCGTTGCTCCTGCCGCTTGTCGTAGCCGCGGAGCCAGATACTTCCGTAGTCCGGTGCCCTCGTGCGCTCGGTAGCCACTGTGCCAGTCTTCCTGTTGCCCGTGTGTCTGCAGCTTCAGCCGTCGTCTCCCATCTTCTCTCCCTTCACAATTCCTCTTCCTCCTCACTTGCCCTCTGTGATCGCCTCTAGCTTTGCTTATAATTGTGAACTATTACTATGTCTGCTCATTGTGCTGATTACACCCCACTTTGGCTATGGGGGTGTGTCAGAATGTTCTTATCTAGCCTGTAGTAGGGTGCTCTATAGCGAGTACAACCCAGTTAGGGTTTGCTATATGTACCCCAACTGCTGCTAGTGAAACCTCCTCTTTCGTCATTCTTCTTTTGCACTTCTTGTTTCTGACACCCATGGGGGTATATCCGGGGTATGACGGTATGCCTACTCTGCCTCACTTGCTTACTGCTTGACCTTGCTTTGTACTGTGATCAATATATTTATACCTGCATGCTTGCTCTTGCTAGGTTGTGATCACTGTACTGCTTGCGTTTTTTTAACTCTGCATGTGAACTGGCCTTGTGGTCGTTTGCTTGTGCTCAAACTGCATGGTGATCTTGAGATCCACCCTTAGCTTTGCTTTGCTTTGTTCTCTTGCTTGACTGGTCTTGTGACCGTTGGTTGTTCTTGCTATCCCCCACTTTGCATATGGGGGTGTGTCAAACTATGTTTGTATGTCTGTAGACAATAGTGGGGTAGCCTCTATTGAGTACAAGACTTCAGGGTTAGACCTAGTACTTGTACTCATCTCATCCCTCTAGTCATTATTCCTACACGTTATGTCTTTCCGTGCACCGTCGAGCACGTAATGCCGTTCCGCGTGTAGACTTCGCGAAAACCTCCTGGGCGACATTCGCCTACGCATCGAATTTCGCAGTCAAGCTACCCGCGTCGACCAGCTCGACGATGCTCCGTCGAGCCGCATTTGCCTAGACGAGCACGCAGTCTGCGCGACTTCTGCGCGCCCCCGACCACGAAGTCTGCTTCTGCCAAGCGAGAGCGGGGTCATTTCCCGTCAACACTCACACACTGCATCGTTCGCCACACCCAGATTCTCCAAAACAACAATCGCACAGTAGCGTGACAAACTCTATTTTACCATACACCGCCTCCTGAATTCGCATTCGCCCCGGCCATATTCTCGATGTAAGTCTTTCGCCAACACTTTTTCAAGTTCAGGATTTATGAACACCATACTGACTTCGGGCTTTATCTGCCAAACCCAAGTGGAGATCGCAAATCATAACTACGGTACCGTACAAGCAATCAGGCAATAAGCAGTATGGTATTGATTGCAAAAAATATTGTAATATCCCATAACGTAGTAGTGTGTATGCGTCCCACCCCATACGACCACTGCTGTTGCTGGTGACACTGCGTCCTCCCTGCAAGCAACCCCACTGCAACCACCGCAGCCAGCTGCTGCTGTTGATGCCGCCTCTGCTTTCCCACCATCCTCTGCCTCCGCCGCAACAACCCGTTTACTGCTGCTGCTGCTGCTGCTGCTGCTGTTGCTGCTGGTGATACTGCGTCCTCCCTGCAAGCATCCCAGCTGCAACCACCGCTGCCAGCTGCTGCTGTTGATGCCTCTGCTGACGCACCTTCTTCTGCTTCCGCTGCTGCGATCCTCCCCCTCCCCCTCCCCCTCCCCCTCCTCCTCCCCCTCCCCCTCCCCCTCCCCCTCCCCCTCCCCCTCCTCCTCCCCCACCCCCGGCCCCCCCGACTGCACCTCCACCGGCTGACTCTTGTGCCACAGCAGCAGCAGCAGCAGCATCCCTAGGGGAGAGCAGGACCAAGGTGCTGCCGACAGCACGAGGGTTGGAGCCTTGTATGCCAGGTTGGGCCCAAGTAAGCGGCTGCATGGGTGCGTTGGACACACCACCTTGGCTGAAACCACCTCCCTGCTGCTGCTGCTGCTGCTGCTGCTGCTGCTGCTGCTGCTGCTGCTGATGATGATGATCACACTCCTGCTGCTGCTGCTGCTGCTGCTGCTGCTGCTGCGGCTGCATCACAGGAAGAGGGCTGAAAGCCAAGGGGTAAGGGTGGCCTGATGGCGCGGATGACACAGCAGTGGCAGTGGTGGCAGGGTGCATTCCCGCATACATGTACGCAGAGCCATGCCCTCCATGACCACCCGTGTGACCTGAGTGCTGCTGGTTTGGATGGCTGGAATGGCCCGGATGGTTTGGATGGCTGGGATGGCCTGGATGGTTTGGATGGCTGGGATGCATGCTTGGGTGAACGTTCAAATACATGCTGGCCTGTTGCGGCATGCTGGCATGTTGCGGCATGTTAGGATGCTGGGGCATGTTGGCGTGCTGCTGCGGCATGTGATGCCCTATCGCGCCAGGCATGGCATAGTGTGCTGCCATGCCAGGCGGCATGGGCGGTGGCGGATACCCATGCATGCCCGCTGGCATGGAATACATGAAGTGAGGGGGGGGTGGCATGGCGTGGTGCTGGGGGTGGGAGGAGGAGGGGTGTGGAATGGCATGGTAGTGGGTATGGTTTGGTGGGGGATGATGGGCCAGATGGGAAGGGGGAGGCGGGACTGAATGAGTGCCTGTATGCGGGTGTGACTGTAATGGGACGCTAGCATGACCTGCCACAGGTGCAACCACAGAAGCGGCAGGTGGTGGCGCTGGGGAATGGGCTGGGGTGTATGGAAGGCTGTGGGACGCGCTTGGTATGGCACCCGCACCCATGCTAGTCTGCATTTTACTCCGCCCCTGCTGCCTCTGCCTCTGCTGCTGTAAAGACACATAGCTGGCGCTGCGAGAGATGGGCGCAGCGGCTGACATACTACCAGCACCAGCACCATCACCAGCAGCAGTGGCAGCAGCAGCAGAAGCAGCAGCACCACCACCACCACCACTATCACCATCACTATCACTATCACCACCACCACCACCACCACCACCACCACCACCATCATCACCACCACCATCACCACCACCATCACCAGCATCACCTCCCCTCTCATCCACCTCCTCAGTCTCCCCACACTCCTCTTCCTCCTCCACCTCCCCACACACATCCTCCAAGTCCCCACACACGTCTACAATCACCTCCCTCGTCCTCTGCCTCTTCCTCCTCCCCCTCTCCTGCCCCGACAACCCACACGGCCCACCTAAAGCAGGGGTTATCCCAGGTGGATTCTCAGGTGCCGGTGCAGTCCCAGGTGCAGCTGCCCCATACATACTCTGAGAGGCAAACTGGGCGGCAGAAACATCAGGTGCAACAGAAGAGGTATCAGTTACACGAGCAGCAGCAGGAGAAATCCCAGGTGCAGCTCCAGGCGGTTCCATCGCAATTGCGGGGGATGGTGGTGCGGAGAGGGCAGGGGAAGCGGATGGGGATGGTAGAGGGCGGAGCAGGCGGGTGGAGGAGAGGGGGGAGCAGACCAGGCGCGGAGGGGCCTTGGGCTGCTTAGCTGACACCACTAAGAAGGGCTGATTGGGTGCAGCTGGGGTGGGTGCAGCTGGGGTGGCAGTGAGTTGGGGTTGGGGGGAGCTGGATAAGAGCGAAGACGAATTCGGTGCTATCTCCCCGGGGACACCAGCAGCAGCAGCGACAGCAGAACCGCTTGCAGCAGAGGGGGCAGCAGCATCAGGAGCATCGGCAGCAGCAGTGGCAGCAGCGGCGGCAGAAGCATGAGCATGAAGAGGAGTTGGTGGGAAGTAGTGAGGAGCGGGGTGAGAAACGTAGCAAACATATGCAGCAGCAGCAGCAGCATCGTCAGCAGCAGCAGCAGCAGCAGCCGTTGATGCAGCACCATAGCGGGCATCCAACGGCTTCTCCATACTCGAGCTCACCCCTAGGGAGATCTCCCCACTGTGCCCTGCCAACCCACCAACATGGCCAGCAGCGGCAGCAGCAGCAGCAGCACCGACAGCAGCACCACCAGCAGCACTAGCAGCAGCAGCAGCATCGGCAGATGGACCAGCGTCAGTTTCCCGGCCTGTCACCATTCCTTCCCCACCCTCCCCTCCTTGCCCCGCTCCTCCCCCCGCTCCCGCGTTGAGAGCCCCAGCGGGGTCAGCAGACGTGACTGCCCCACCGGCAGTGGACGACCTACTGGCAACAACCATGCCACTCGCCTTTACCTGCTCCTCTATGATTTTCTGGAGGTATTTACCCTGCGCCTCAATCCTCAGCTGCAGCTGCCGCTGCACCTCCAGCTGCTCGTGCAACCGCCTCTGCACCTCCATCTGCATCCTGAGAGCCTCTGTGATCGGGATGTTGCGAATGCTGCAAGCGCGGAGGGAGGGAGGGAGAGAGAGCAAGTAAGCACACAAGGAGTGGATCAGGACTTGCTCCTGCAGCTGCAGCTGCATGGGAAGGCGCTTCTGCATGGGAAGGCGCTTATGCATGTCTCTCGGCGTTCAGGATGCTTAGATGATTAAAAGGAGGTGATTTTTGAGTCTATTCAAACGATACGCTGCACATATTGCAGTCCACGAAGCAAGCAGTGAGAAGGACGGGGGAGAGGGAACCGGAACATAAGAATTGAATAAGACATATAGTCAGCAACAAGCGAAGCAAAGGTAAAGCAAGGATGAGACATGGTTTTAGATAAAGTTGGGAGAGGGGGGAAGGGAGAGTGGGAAAGAGATGGGCGGCGGTGGTGTGGGTTAGGGAGTGAAGGACATACACAGCAGGGTCGAGCGACGAAGGCTCGCCGTCTGTAGCATCATGCTGGAAGCCCAGAGAGCCAGCAGCCGCAGCGGCAGCCGCAGCCGCAGCGGTAGTGGCGGCCACAGCAGCAGCACCAGAAGTGGCAGCAGTAGCAGTAGTAGCTGCAGCGCCGGCCGCGGTAGCGGCGGCGGCGGCAGCAGCAGCAGGAGGGAAGGGGGGCGGAGCTAGTGTGACGGGCGCAGGTGCAAAGACTCCAGAGGCAATCCGCTTGGGGGCTTTCTCTGCCCTCTCCGGTCTTGGCTCTGGGAGGGACAGCAGGAGGGAGAGGGCGGAAAGGGACAGACAGGTGAATTGCTCGGAATTCTTCGCATCAGCAGCAACAGCAGCAACGTCGGCGGCGAAACGGCGGTGCCGTCGCCACTGCTGCTGCGGCCGCCGTACAGGATAAGGTGCAGTAGACTTGAATGGAAAAAATAAAATAAAAGAAAAAAACCCCAGAAGCAAAACGCTCGGGGGCCTTCTCTGCCCTCTCCGGCCTTGGCTCTGGGAGGCTTAGCGGGAGGGATAGGGAGGAAAGGAACTGATGAATCATACAGATTTAAGGGGCAGTAGATTTGAATGAAGAAAATACCAGCAACACGGATGACGTGAGGTGATTTCAGTCAGTCAGGGGAAAAATATGTGGGGTTATGAACAATAGACACTCTGTAGATTCTGCTGCTCCCTGCACTCGTAAACTTGTGAAGTCTCAAACAAAACTACACACCCTGCAGTGCAGGTTTGTAAGAACGTAGGCTCGGGAGAGCGTAGGCTTGGCAGAGAGCTGGCTCGGCAGACTACTTCAGGAATGTATGCTCTGTGGTTCCGTGGCCAGTTCAGCTGTTGGTGTACTCTATGAACTTACCCTGTTCTCGGGGTGTGGAAGGCAAAGGATCTGGAAGGTACTTGGCGAGTCGATACTTCTGCAGAGAGGGACAACATATGCAGGGGGGGAGGGGGGACAAGGGGGAGGGGGCAGGAGGGCAGGGGGGCAGGGGGGCAGGGGGGAAGGGTGGAAGGGGGAGAAGCACGAAATGTTAAAGCGGCCCAAGAACTTTGCGTTGACTAAGAAATCTTCACTTGCACGTGGCTCTTGACATGGCACATTGTGATTCGTGAACCCTTGCACACACGCCCATGCCATGGCATGGCATTCAGTGCGCCCCAGTCCCATGATACTACCACTGCACCAACCATGCATGCATGCATGCCTGACGGCTGAAGATGGTTCGTGTGACACACACAACAACGCACCTGCATTTGGCTCTTGACATGGTAAATGGTGAGGTGAGCACCTACATGCCCATGACCAAGTCCAATGATACCACCACACCAACCAGACATACATGCATGCATCATGCATTCCTATAGATGGCGATGGTACTGGCACACGCACCTGCAGGTGGCTCTTGACGCACGCACCTGCAGGTGGCTCTTGACGCACGCACCTGCAGGTGGCTCTTGACACACGCACCTGCAGGTGGCTCTTGACGCACGCACCTGCAGGTGGCTCTTGACACACGCACCTGCAGGTGGCTCTTGACGTGGTAGATGGTGAGGCCTTGCACGCCCATCACTCGCAGCACACCCTTGGGTGTCGCCTCTGCACGACACGGGAGGGGGCATGGGGAGAACAATTGGAACGGGAGGGGGGGGGGGGGCATGGGGAGAAGAGAGAGGGAAAAGAGGGAGAGGTAAGTGGAAACGGGAGCAGAACTGGCAGCGAGAGAGGGAGGCGGGGGGCATGGAGGGAATAAATGGCACCCTTTCCATCCAGCCATGACGTACTGCCATGTCAGCCAACAATACGGAAGAAAGAACGGACGGAGGCAAAAGAAGAAGAAAGAAAGAAAGAAACTTCCAGTCAGCCCCTCCCAGGTCCGCGACTGCCTCTGGCGTCCACCGCAGCCTGTGCTAGGGGAATAAGACATGCACAACACACCCCCCTCTTTCCAACAGTCACATCACATCACACAGGCAGACAAGACAAGCAGACTTACTGTCAGCCCCTCCCAGGTTTGCGACAGCCTCCACGAATTTCTCATGCAGCTCTGGCGTCCACCGCAGCCGGTGCTTGCCGGAACTCCCCCCATCGCTGCTGAACCCGCCGCCTCCTCCCCCCATGCTGAACGCCCCTCCCCCGCCCACGCTGCTCGTCGCTCCCCCTTCCCCTCCGCGCCCTCCCAGTGACCCCGCGGGCGCCACCCCTCCCAGTGACCCCGCGGGCGCCACCACCCCTCCGCCCGAAGCAGCAGCTGCAGCAGCGGTGGCGGCAGCAGCAGACGCGGCAGCAGACGCCGCGGCGGCAGCAGCGTCCGTCCCCGGGGCAAGCAGATTCATCCCCCCTATAGTGTCGATCCGGCACATGCTTACCCCATCCATTCCACCAGTGCCACCCGCGGCCCCACCGTGGCCCTGCATCCCTGCACTGGCACCAGCAGCGCCTATGGCAGCAGTGCCAGCAATGGCAGCGTTACCATTCACTGCTGCTCCTTGCGACAAAGCTCCCGTCCCGTCTCCTCCTCCGCCTCCGCGTCCCGCTCCCCCTTCCCCTCCCCCTCCCCCGCGCCCTCCGCCCCCCCCTCCCACACCACCGCTGTTCCCAGCAGTGGAAGCAGAGGATGCGGGCGCAGCCACGGGGAGGGCGCAAGGCATCCCCCCCAGCGACAGGGGCAGCGGCGACAGGGGCAGAGGGTCCCTTCCCCCTGGGTGGATCTGTGCGTACATGCCTGGCACCGCAACCAGGGAGAACGGGAGGTCGGGGGAGGAGTAGGGGTTGTGGAAGGGCGGGTATGGCGGCCTGGAGAGCGGCGAGGCGGGGAGGTGAGATGGGGGTGGGAAGGTGGGGTTGGGTGTGCTTGCGTGTTGTGCCTGGTGCGGCTGGTACTGCTGCTGCTGCTGGTGATGGTGGTGATGATGGTGCTGGTGGTGGTGGTGCTGCTGCGGCTGCCGCTGATGGCTATCTTGGCTTGCAGAACGGTTTTCCCGAGAGGTTGGGCGTTTCGCAAACAGGTCGTGTCGCTCCTGCTGCTGCTGATGATGAAGTGATTGCTGCTGCTCCTGGTGCTGCTGATTTCCTTCCTGCTGCTGCTGGTGATGCTGGTGTTGCTGCTGGTTCTGCTGTTGCTGCTGCTGCTGCTGCTGCTGCTGCTGCTGCTGCTGCTGCTGCTGCTGCTGCTGCTGCTGCTGCTGCTGCTGCTGCTGCTGCTGCTGCTGCTGCTGCTGCTGCTGCTGCTGCTGCTGCTGCTGCTGCTTCTGCTGCTGCTGCTGCTGCTGCGGTTGCTGGTAGCGGAGTTCCCAGGGAAGGGAGGACGACGAGCCCTGCGGCCCTCCCGCTTGAGCTGTCTCCAGCTTGGACGGCACCACCACCTGTAAAGGCAAGGCAACAAAGAAAATGGAACAAGAATAAGATGTTGACAAATGAGCAGACTCACTCAAGGGTCGCTTCGCTTTGCTGCCCTCCCACCTCTGTGCTGGGTCTAGCTTCAAAAGAGAACCAGCTGTAGAGAGAGCGAGATTAATGGAGGATGACAAAGAAGAGGGAAGGAGCTGCTGCCTGCAGCGAGAGCAGCACGATTAGGAACGGCCGACTATTCGACAGGACAGGCACGGACAGACAGACAGGTGGTGAGCAATGGAATGGAATGGATTGGAGAGAGATGAGCGGCGACACACAACACATGCACAAAGACTCGACGGCGGCGAACCGCAAAGGAGTTTTGAAAATGAACGTCGGCAGAAAGAGAAGGCGGAATGCTACAAGCAGTGAGCGGAGCGGAGCAAGCAGTGAGCGGAGCGGAGCAAGCATTGAGCGGAGCGGAGCAAGCAGTGAGCGGAGTGGAGCAAGCAGTGAGCGGAGCAAACAGTGAGCGGAGCGGAGCAAGCAGTGAGCGGAGCGGAGCAAGCACGCACGCGGAACTCGAATGGTCCAACAAACTATTGACCAAGGAGCCAACTTTGCCTGTTGCTTCCCGTAGCACATCCCATACAACTATACCTGTACCTAACGGGTTTCTAAGACCACTTCCTGTTTCTCCCCCGAAGAAACCAGAGCCACCTTGGAGAAATCTCAAAAGAGACACAAACCCAGCCCAAGGCTTTCACCCCAAGTAAAAAAGCCCTTCCTTCCTCTCCCGTGAACCACTCAGAGCCACCCCCACCTCGTCGTCCACCTTCAGCAGCTCCGCCCAGTCAGCTCCAATGGCTTCGTCCGGAGTGTACTCAGGCCACGTCGGCCAATCACAGCCCGTTCCGGCCGCTGCTGTCGGCCCGTACGCATCCCCCGTGTCTTTTTCCCTCCCGCCGTTCGCTTGGCGCCCCCTCGTCATCCCCCTCTCTTCCGATATCCCTTCCGATCTGCCTTCCAGCCTCCCCTCGAACCTCCCCTCCACATTCTCGATTTTATCTGATTCGTCGGTCCAAATGTTCTCCAGACCCCCCACCTCCATCTGACCCTCGTTATTGTCACGATCCATCTCTTCCCCGTTACAAGTTTCCCCGGCGATAATTACAGAAGCCTCGTTCCCGCTCTCGCCAACCTCGCACTCCTTGGCGAATCTCGACGAACCCGTTGCAGCATTGTTACCATCTAAGTTGTCAAGCGCCCCCTCGCTACCGAACATGGATGAGAAAGCGACTGGCGGAGAGTTGGCGTAGAACCCTTCAGCGTACACATGACCGCCCGCGAAAGTGAGAGGGATGGGAGACAGGTGCGAGCTGCGACGGTCCGACATGGTCGTTGGAGAAACCTCGCCTGATGCCAGCTGCTCGAACTTGAAATGCTGCTGCTGCTGCTGCTGCTGCTGCTGCTGCTGCTGCTGCTGCTGCTGCTGCTGCTGCTGCTGCTGCTGCTGCTGCTGCTGCTGCTGCTGCTGCTGCTGCTGCTGCTGCTGCTGCTGCTGCTGCTGCTGCTGCTGCTGCTGCTGCTGCTGCTGCTGCTGCTGCTGCTGCTGCTGCTGCTGCTGCTGCTGCTGCTGCTGTTGCTGCAGCAGCATTCGTTGGTGCTGCTGCTGTTGCGGCGGCTGAATGGGGAACGCGGGGGGTGGGAGGTACAGGACGTCTTGCGTTTGCTGATGCTTCGGCTGAGTGTCCCGCTGCTGCTGGTTTCGCGGAGTCCCACGTGGCTTGGAGTCCATGGGAATGCGGTTGCCTGCGTTGACTCCTCCGATGTCAGATAGCAAGCTCACATATCAACTAACTGCAGTTATCAGGCTTTCAGCAGTATCGGCCTCTGCACTTCTCAGGCTTTCAGCAGTATCGGCCTCTGCACTTCTCAGGCTTTCAGCAGTATCGGCCTACTTCTCAGGCTTTCAGCACTTCACAGACTCGGTTCACTGACCAGCAGTCAGAGCTGATCAAACTAATTGCTGTCCTGGCACCCAACGGTGCCGTGGAATTGCGAAGAGCGATTATCATGCAGCCTCGACGAGGCAATCGCAACCGGGAAACATCACTGTAACCCTTACTGCAGTCCGCGATGATCAATTAAGAGCCCCTCCGTTTACCAGTAATTTCTTGCATTGCCGACGACAATTGACCAGCCAGAAGCGAGACGCACCGAGACGACGAGCCCTAAAAGTTGCGGGCACAGAAGCGTCCACCAGTTGTGGCTTTCTGCTGCTAGTGGATGGAAGAGGAGGGAGGAAAGGAGAGGAAGCGAGTGAGCAACTTGCCGTCAGGGTCAGAACACCAGCAGCTGGTGCGATCAATTGTGGGTTTCCTGCTTCTGGTAACGAGGGCTGCGTTATCAAAAAGATTCCCTGCAAAAAAGATTCCTTCGTGAAACGAAATCGGCCGCACAATGGAGTAGATCGAACGGCAAACAGGATGCTATTTGTGACCAGAATTCATTGGTGAAGTTCGTTACAACCCTTTCCTCCACCCAAACCAAGCCACAGGTTTCAGCACTTTTCAAGCCAAACCGCATCCAGAGCGTGAGGAACGGAACGGATTAGGACACGACCCCTCCCTCGATCGGCCCTGCCGTCGATCTATCTAGGGACATCTACATCAACTGTAGCTACGCAAATTCACAGGGTAACCTGATTCGCTGAAGAGTCCCGAATGTACAGTAAAGGGGGACCAACTGTTGTAATGAAAAGAGTGTTGTAAGGAATTTTCTCGCCATTCCTTACTAGGACCATCAACATCGCGTACAACACCAGCCGTTGTTCGCCCGTTACTGCTAACAGGGCTTCGCCAATTTTGCGAGCACTGTTTCACCAAACCATGCATCGCTGGCCATGCCGAGTCGGCCTACGCTTCGGGACTAGCCCGAACCTCGATGCCAGCCTAGCACTAGCTAGCTCGCACGCACCGCGTTACCGTCGGCATGTTTCGATTTTTTTGCTCATGCCTTTGCTCATACTTTGTACTCTTATGACACCCTAGTGCAATCCTTGCTATCGTTGGGCTGAGAAAGCCCTTAGGATCGTTTCAATGACTAAGGCTCATGCTGATAATGTATTAGCGGAAGTGTTAAAATGAAACTGATTGAACCACCTTGCAATAGTGTGTGAGAACAAGATAAGTTGATTACAACATAGGGATACAAGTCTTTTATATGATTACAGGGAATGTGAAAGGTTTAACTAACTGCAATTGTAACTGCTGCTGCTGCTCGATATCGAGTCAGTTATTTGTCATTGCTGTCATCCTGTTTTCGTCAAGTCAAAGGTTGCTGGCCTTTGACGCTTCAACTTCTTGCTGTTGTCCCCTTTTGTCAACTGCTTCGCTGTAGCTCGGTTGACCCGGTGTTGTTTCGCTATGAGTCTGCTTGGTTCTTGTTATAGTCCTCGACACATCAGAAGCGCAAACTTATATGTTTCCAACACTCCCCTTCGTTTCTAGAGTGTCGTCGCTTTCGTTGCTGGTGACGTGGCCTTGTCCAGTCAGCAGCATGCAGTACTTGAACTTCTGCTTTCCGAGTTTCTTGGTTAAAAAACCTGTGGCCATCTTGGACGTGGGGCAATAGGATAGCTCGAGCCTTCCTTTCTCGATCTCGTCTTTCACGAAGAAGTATCGCAGAGCGATGTGCTTCGTTCGATTCGCGAACCCGTTCTTGTTCGCTATGCGAATTGCCGATTGGAAGTCGCGGAAGAGGGAAAAGCTGGGTAACTGGGCCAGCTTTGCTTCTTCCAGTACTTCGCGAAGGTACAGTCCTTCCTTGGTGGCTGAGTAGAGTGCAATGTATTCTTCTTCAGCTGAAGAGAGAGCAATTAGCTCTTGCTTGCTCGACTGCCACGAGACAGGACTGACGGGCTCAAGTCGATAGATGTAGCCGGAGCGCAATCATCTCAGAGTCGCGTGCTTAGTTGGCATCCACATAGCCGATGTGTTTTGGAGTCGTGGTTGCAGTTTTGTGGTAGGTTAGTTGGTGTGCTGACAAGGTAGTGTAGCGCGCGATCGGATTCCGCCATGTGCTCTGCTTCAGGCCTTTTGAGATAGGTAGCGAGTTGGCTCGCCAAGTATGACAGGTCCGGTCGGCATATGACGGTTTTGAAGAGCAAGCATCCTAGTTTCCGCTGGTAGTCACGTAGGCTGTCCGGTCCGAGTGGATTAGATTCTCCCTGGTGATTTCCAGCGGTGTAGCGATAGAGTGTGGAGATGGCGTCTGGCATTAATCCGAAGCGTTTTGCGATGGTGTCGACGTATTTTGCGGCGCTGAGGTAGAACTGTCGAGTTTGTTGAGCCCGAGGTATTGGGTCACGATGGAGGAAAGGGTGAGTGTGAGACCTTGCTACAGCTTTTCTTCAAACCAGGTGCTGATGCCGTCGGTGGAGCCTATGTAGAGTAGGTCGTCTACATAGACGATGAGTATAATGTACTCTGCTGCCTTTGTGAGTCTGTACATCCCTTGATCGCGTGGCAGTTGCTGGAAGCCGATGCAAATCAGTAGGGCGTGCAGGTACTCTTGTCACAGTTGCGGGGCTTGCTTGATGCCGTACAGCGACTTGTCGTAACCTCATCCTCTACTCCTCTCTTGCGCTCGTGCTGCCCTTCCTTGCCCTCTCTTTCCCATTCTTGTCTCATCTTCCCTTTTGTGCTCTTTTCCTTCCCCATCCCTAGTCCCATGTTGCATCTCTTCCTCTTCTCTCCCTTCAGTGCCCATGCATCCCTTTGGAACAAGCCCCGCAATGCCAGTGTTGTGCGTAGACTATTGCTCGAGCTCCTAATACTGCTAGCTTCGAATTGAAGTCAGAATTTGCAGTATGAAAGGAACAAACAAGCAAAAAACGAGTAGAATGTTTGGACCCCCTTTAGATCTATCCTCGCTAGTCCTAGAGTGGCCCTCTAGCTCCTGATGCGCGAAGAACCCTCTTCGGCGCACTCCAAGGTGCTAGCTGGCTACATACGAGCTAGTTGGAATACAGCTTCCCCACCGCCATCCAGCTTCGCACCGCATACATTGGGTTTCTCCTCCCAATTCCCTCGCGCCTTGAGCACACCAACCCCTCGAAATCTGGCCACCAACTCCCTCCCAAAACGAAATAGCAAGAACAATATAGTACAGTGGACAGTGAAACGAAAACAGATAAAAGCAAACACCACAAACTTACCCTTGGTGCTGCACTACTTCAGCTATGGTTCGAGGCCACGCTTAATAGTGCGACAGCTGTCGTAACCTCATCCTCTGCTCCTCTCTTGCGCTTGTGCTGCCCTTCCTTTCCCTCTCTTTCCCATTCTTGTCTCATCTTCCCTTTTTTTGCTCTCTGCCTTCCCCATCCCTAGTCCCAGGTTGCATCTCTTCCTCTTCTCTCCCTTTAGTGCCCATGCATCCCTGCCCCGTCCTGTGCCGAAGCCCTTGCCTTAGCGGCTCTGATCATGAGACCCGTCAGCTTGGGCACCGCCTTTCTCGCCACTCCGACGTTTGTCACATGCTCGCGCTGCTCCCTCCCCTTCTCATCTGCCAGCCCCAGCATCCCCAAAGGTCGCACTTCTTTTACCTTCCATCTCTCTGCTCCCACTGCCATGTCCAGAGTATCTCCCTTTTGTTGGAGATTGAGTGTGTTGCAAGCAAGTGGTGGTGGGGCGGTTGTATGCCCCCAACCCACCGAATGTGTTTCGGTGCTCATGAGTTGCATGAAACTGCAGGTTTCGCGAGAAGTGTGGGTTGATTTCAGAAGACCCTCTCAATTGGTGCCACATGGCAACACAAGAACAATCGAGAATGAAGTAGAATTCGGTTCGGTTAAATTTGGGTGCGAATTTCACCACTTCGAAATGTTACTCGAACATTCGTGAGTGTAGCGGTTCGAGGTTACTTGTGCGACTCGATCTTGTTTTTATGCTATAAATCTGTTTTCTTTGTATTGCCTGAAATCTAACTGAAATCCTGAATCTTCTTGCACATGGTGCAACTCGACAAAATTCCAGAGAGCTCCTAATCTTTGTTCCTAGAGCATAGTCTTCACGTTTCCACCTATAGCTCACTCGTTTCTTAGGCGAACGAAGTGATTAACGGCTCGTTGGAAAGCTAAGACATAGCTCTACTGATTAGGACAAATCCCAGCTCCAACAAAGTAGAGGAGAGTCCTCTACAACACCTTTGCCTTGCGCAGGTACACCTCCCTTCCTTCCGCCACACCCTTGTCCTGGTGCTTCTTATTACTCTCCTTCCTCTACTGATACCTCTTAGCATCTCGCAGTTGAGCCACATGCAGATTCTCCAGTGCAGCTGGTATGAGCTCCTTAAGATATTCCGCCCTACGGTGAGCTAGTGCTGCCCAATCCTCAGCCTTGTCCGTGCTAATGGTAGCGGCCAGCAGCTTGGGGGCATTGATAGGTAAAACTGGTTCCCTGCCATACAGCATGTAGTACGGTGAGAGGTCCCGGAGCGCTGCTTGCTTGGCAAACCTGTATCCAACCAACACCCAAGGCAGCTCCTCATCCCAATCACGCTTGTGTTGCTCGCTGTACTCCCTGAGCCCCTTCTTCAACGTCTAAATCAACCTCTCTGTCAAATCGTCTGATTGTGGATAGTACCGGGATGTCTTGCGATGCGCAATCTTCATCTCGTTAAGCAGGTGCTCAAACTGTCCTTGAAACTCCGTTCCCTGGTCCGTCAATACCTCCCCACACGCTCCAAATCGCACTATCACCTGGTCGCAGAACGCCTCTGCGATTAATCCACTGT